ACGAAAAGCAGCATATTGATTGGCTGTCGCGCGGACTTCCGCCGCGCGGCAAGCATTACCGCGTCCTGTGTGCAGGAGCTATTACCGCATCCTGTGTGCAGGAGCCATAAGCGTAGTTGTGAACATAAGAATCAACCAATTAATTTGTATGTACTTGACCGGAAAAAAAACTCCGGTTGGAAAACTATTCTTTTAAATCTTTTGTATTTCGTATGAAGAGTTTTGAAGTGCAATTGAAAAGATTTGTGAGTCATTCTATTATTTGTAATTAATTGTTCTTTTTTGGACTATGTATTTAGCCGGAAATAATGACCGGAGGTAAATTAAACAAAGATTCGGTATGGTATTGTATTTCGTATGAAGAGTTTTGAAGTGCAATTGAAAAGATTTGTGAGTCATTCTATTATTTGTAATTAATTGTTCTTTTTTGGACTATGTATTTAGCCGGAAATAATGACCGGAGGTAAATTAAACAAAGATTCGGTATGGTATTGTATTTCGTATGAAGATTTATGAAGTATCATTAAAAAGGTTTATGAGTCATCCAGATAATTTTAATTAAATATTAAAAAATCATGTATTTGGCCGAAGTATTGATCTCAAGCACTGCTGTGGAAGTACCGTCAGGCACGATCGGTGTACTATCTAGTATTTCAATACTCATGGTTTATTTTTGGGTAATTATGTATAATAAGGCCTTTTTCGAATTTTGATACTTTTTTTGCAGCTCTTTTGGTAAAAATATTTATTTTGACTCCAACATTGATAATCAATTGGGGGAATCCAAAAAATATGCAAGTTATATATTGTTTTAACTTTTTTTTATTTTTTTTTCACTTGTCAAACGTTGCTACTTTCCCACAATTTAAACAAATTACTGATCTTTTAATCACATTATGTAACTGCAATTTCAAACGACTAGCGGGTAGCTGCGCCCCCCGCCCCCCCTCTAAACTAACTTAACCCAACCTATCGTCACATTAATCGTTAGTTATTGTTTATTAAAGTGTTCAACTTTTTTTTTTAATAATTTTTTAGTAAACAATGATTAACGGCTAATGTGATGATAGGTTGGGTTAGGTTAGTTTTGTGGGGGGGTGCGGAGGGCGCAGCCTCCCGCTAGTCGTTAGAAATTGCAGTTACATAATGTGATTAAAAGATCAGTAACTTGTTTAAATTATGGGAAAGCAGCAACGTTCGACAAGTGAAAAAAAAATAAAAAATAGTTAAACAATTATAACGCATATTTTTCGGATTCCCCCGATTAATTATCAATATTGGAGTCAAAATAAATATTTTTACTAAAAGAGCTGCAAAAAGATATCAAAATTCGTAAAAGGCCTTATTGTACATAATTACCCGAAAAAGAACCAGGAATATTGAAATACTAGATAGTACACCGATTGTGCCTGACGGTACTTCCACAGCAGCGCTTGAGATCGATATTTCGGTCAAATATATGATTTTTTAATATTTAATTAAAATTATCTGGATGACTCACAAACCTTTTTAATGATACTTCATAACTCTTCATACAAAATACAAAGGATACCATACCGAACCTTTGTTTAATTTACCTCCGGTCATTATTTCCGGCTAAATACATGGTCTAAAAAAGAACAATTAATTACAAGTAATAGAATGACTCACAAATCTTTTCAATTGCACTTCAAAACTCTTCATACGAAATACAAACGATTTAAAGGAATAGTTTTCCAACCGGAGTTTTTTCTGGTCAAGTACATACGAATCCAATTAGAGTGTTTTATTTACTAATTGTTTTATTTTTATTGGTATCGTAATCATCTACAATCATTTACAATCACGCTTACACTATTGTAGAATGGCCTTTAGAGTCAACCAATCCGAATGTTTTATTCACTGATTGCTTTATTCTGATTGGTTGTCGTAATCACTTACAACCACTTACAACCACGTTGACGCAATTGTAGAATGGGCTTAAGAAATACATTGAGCGAGAGTTGGCGACAGTGGGCCTATGCCTTTCCTACGATTTTGTACAGAAGGTTGCATCGATTCGATCATTCACTAACCAGTCATCGACAGTCACGTATAAATCTTGGTATGTCTAAGAATATAATAGTAATAGTAATTTAATTTGATCTGAATTTCCATTGTGCGACATACGTCGATTAGTAACAAGTAAAGAAATAAATTCATGAGTAAGTATAACTGATCGATACGGCATATGGTGCGACATACTCAATTTTGTCGAGGCCTTCTGCTTTAGATGTGTGAACTTGGCATGCAATTTTTGGTAAATTTACTTTTTAATACAGAATAGGTGTCCTGTTTGCAGTTTGTAATAGCAAAATAATTTCGTTTGTAGTGTCGAAATAAATGCCTTCATAATTGTATGCCAAGTTTTCATATAGATTTCAATTTCCGATATAAATTATTAAGATGAATAAAATGTTAGAAAAGAAAAAAAGTGTACCGGCAGATTGGTAATAGATTCGATCGATAAGTACTGTAGCAAATTCATAGCTACTTCTGCAGTAAGTACTTCTGCAGTACTTCTTGGATTCTGTCGATAGAGTCTACTGACATAATTTGTTAACAGATTGGCAACAGAAACAAAAGTAAGATTTAGGGTATGTTCGATTTAAGTATGTTGTTCCATTTAGATATGCGGATACATTTTTTTTAATGCATTTTGAACTTGATTTTTATTCAATATATCACAAGTTATAATTTCTTTATTATTATGCTATTTAAGCTTTAATTATTACAAAAAAACAAATATAAATAGAGTATAGAAACAAAACATTCAATATTCATATTTTTAATTACTAACGTAATAATAAACTACAGCTTTGCATTGGTTTAAATTATTCCTGATCTTGTTTTAATAATTTACGGAATGATAGATCCTGTTTCTGCTGTCAGTCTGCCATTATATACTTTCAGCAGATTGTTATACTACCGCTAGCAAGCTGCTGACAAGTAGTTATAGTGGATCTTAAGTAAAATTTTTCTGTAATTGGAATATCTCGTTGTATTTTATGAGTTGTATCTAGATATTCCACCATGTGGAACCATGCATTCTAATGAAAAATAATATGTAAAAAAAATTTTGTTTTATTCTTTTAACTAATTTACAGAACAGTTCAGTTCTGGTGAGCAACTAATTTTTTTTTAAGTCACTTTATTCTTGTAATACATCTTACTTTTTGGTTGAACGAGATCGTTATTAGTAATCCTTTAAATTTAGTTTGCAGCCAAATAATTAAGGATTTGGATATCTTGAGAGAAAGAAATAAAGCAAATAATATAAATTATTAATTTTGTGCTTTGTTTTACATATATGTTACTTTTACAGCAATTAGATAGCTTAACCTTAAGCTATTTAGCCATACATAACTTTTTAATGAATAGTACAATAGAAAATTTAAGAGTTTTTAAGAGCAAAACAAACAAAAAATTAGCAAATTACTTCTATATATGATTATGTTCTGATAATTTATCTTAGACAGCTTAATATATTTATTTAGCCTGATCAAAGCTACAAGAACAAAATGTTTTGAAGAAATTAGTTTACTTGGATGACCGTAGATTCAATGTTCTTTGAATTGTTTATTCTCAAAATACCTAGGTCGGAATGTTTAATTCGCGAGATAAATTTAAAGTACAACGAAATATCATCTAACCTGATCGAAGCTACAAGAGTAAAGTGTTTTAAACAAGTTAGTTGTACGCATGACTATGGTGTCAAAATGTTCTGTGAATTATTTGCTTTCAAGATATTCAGTCTCAACTTATGTTGTTTTTTAAATTTGTTTCACGAATAAAAAATTCGGGACATAGATATATTGAGAGTAAATAATTCAAAGGACATTTTGATCTCTCATCATAATCTCTCTCTCTCTCTCTCTCTCTCTCTCTCTCTCTCTCTCTCTCTCTCTC